GTCATTAATGTGTGTGCCATCAATAGCCCCTGTACACATTGGAAAACCCCATGTTTTCTCATAGCCCTCAATCACGTCCAGGAATTGATTTCCTTTTGGAAAATTGATCACTTTGGCCAATCGTTTAGTAATAGCACGGCACACGACTCTCACACATAGGCAAACAAATGATGCAGAGACTCCAAAAAGTTTGCCGATTGTTCTGTACTCGGCTGTAGAAGCCACTGAAAAAAATACAAGGTAAGGGCTAATCGTCGTTTTGGCGGAATTGCCAAACGCATAGTGGTATCAGCACGATAGATGCCATTTCGTATTTTATCTAGGAAAAATTATAACGTCCCTTTGGTTACTCTAAAGTTGGTGTACCATAATTCATCATCGTATGTTTGCTCGACCATTTCGATTTATACGAACGATCTCGGATGCTTCCACAACAACCGGTTTCGTGGGCGACACAAGACAGCTTAAAACAGCTTCAACAAAACATTCCCTTCGCCTTTCTTTAATCCAATTCGGGAGTTTAACAGTGGTCTCACGACTTAATAATGAAACATGTCTCTTTCTTTTACTCCTTTGGAGATACCATCTAATTATCATTTGCTTTAGGAGTTTTAAGCTTTCGCTGTTTACCGCCATATTTGAAATATCCCGCCCAAATTAATTAGCATTCAGTTTAGCGATTAACCGCTTACATTTGTACTGAGGGCGGTAGGGTGCCAGAAAAAGTTTAGGGGTACCATTAAACTAAAATATCTGGAACGCTACCTTAACTGAACATGCCCAGACTTGCCCGAAGCCAGATTTTACCTCCAGACACGCGTGTCAGGAGGTAAAATTCACGCGCGTTGTCGCGTTTCCTGCGTTGCGCAGAAGAACAGCGACAGCCAACCAACATGCATTTATAGCAACATGTGATTGAAAAGGTTTTGAAAAGGAAGGCACTTCTCTTGCTATGGAGGTAATCGGTTACATTTTCATTCAATACAGTACGAATCATAACTTTTCATACGTGTATTCGATCGGTAAATCGGGGAAATGAAACTTTTTTCGTTCAAATTGAATGTGTACACAAACGGCATGGATCAGAGATTCAGAGTGGCATTGTATAAAAGTTGTAAACACGTAAGTACCTTTACTAAATTTATTAAATATGCATGAAGCTCAATCGCATCTGCAACAGAGTAACTGAAATTGTATGTGATTTGAGGACAGTTTGTTTGCCAGGTTTAACCCTTCTTGTTCTTGAATTCATCTTTATATGATGTTTCCATCTTTATATGATGTTTCCATCTCCATCAATAGGCCATTCCATTTAATATAGGCACCCCCCCCCCCATAATTTGAAGGGTCCCTTCCTAATCCCCTTAGGATATAAAAATTTTAGAAACCCCTTGGATGTGATTTTTGGAAGTTGCCCCATGGATATCTTGATACCCCCTTTAGGATATCGTTTTTGCCCCCTTGGATATCACTAAAACACTTAATTTTTGCTATTTTTGGAAACTCTCTTAAGCTACCCTCCAAGAAAATTTTAGGTAAAAAACCCCTCCCCCATAGGATATCCAGACCCCTCAATAGGGGGGGGGTGCCTATATTAAATGGAATGGCCCATTATAAAGGATCCCATGGACAGGGTCGAGTATTACAAAGACATCTTTGGTTGTTGGATTCTTAAAAGATCTTTTGATGGATTCATAGTTACCAGAAAATTTGCAACCCAGTGTTTTGAATGTACTAATGTTAACAGCTGTGCCATCAGCTGTTACTGACCACATTTTTAGATTAGCATTTGCAGCTTTTTCAAGACACTTTTTACCAGAGTGGCTTGGTCCTTTGCATTCATTTTATCAGCCAAGAAGTATCCCACTGGACATTTCCAATGACTTCTGGTGCCTACCAGAAGAAAAACCAAAGCTTCTGTGGCCAATTTTTCTAAATGTTCATTAGGAATCTCATTTCCGGGAGTCTTTTTCTGGATTCCAAATGGTTTGTTTCCGGATATAGACATTGCGTCTATTACCAAACAGTAATCTTTGTCAGTATTTGATTGGACTCGGCTCGGTTGATAATGCTTACCTCAACCTTCTGAGAAAGGGATGAGAATGCCTCATCAATAAAGCCTGGATCACACTTGAATGAGGAATATATATATTTTTTGCTGTAATTTTGTGTGTAATTCATCACTTGAGGCATATCTTGGTCTTTTTCTCATTTTTTCTTGGATCATTTTCATGTGCTGGACATGGTCTCATGGTCTATTCTTCTGTTTAATTCCTCGTCATGTGCTGTTAATGTTGGTGGGTCAGAATGTACAGGTGGACCAGATGAAAAAGCATATTTTTTGAGTCGACATGTGTTATTGGATGAAGGAGGCAAGATATATAATTGGAAATGCTTGCTGCCTATACGACTGTACTGGTTGACTTACCATGGCTTTTTATTAAATTTTTGAACATAAATCTCCCAACATTTTTGTAAAGCATTATTTTTCAAAGGAAATCCATAACAATAATTATAATGTTATATGAAATGGCTCAATGCCAATAAATTATCAATCAACGCTTCTAAGACAAAATTTGTAATTTTTAAATAAAAAAATAAGTGAACTCAACACAGACAATACAATCAAAATAAATAATGATTTGGTTAAGCAAGTGACGTTTGTAAAGTTCCAAGAGGTTATAATTGACGAAGAGGTGACATGGAAGAACCACGTCAGCTCAGTTCTGAAAACTATTATTAAATGTACAGGTCTGATTGCTAAACTAAGACATGAAGAAATAGAAACACTTTAAAATTGATTTACTACGCATTAGCTTATCCATACCTCACGTACGGGAATCTTGTTTGGGGAAATACATATCCCACAAGATTGCAAAAAATAATGAATGTACAAAAGAAAATTGTTCGATTAATTTGTTTTAAATCTTATTCGGATCATTCTGAACCATTATATTTGGACTTGAAAATCTTGAATGTCTACAAAATTAATTATTATCTATGTAGTCTATTTATGTATCGATTCTTTTATCATCAAAATAATTTGCCGGATTTTTAATTGTGATTATTTTAAACAAAATAGTGAATTACACAATTATAATACACGTAATTCCACCAAGTTACACGTGAACTTTCAAAGATTGAACTAATTACCGCAAATATACTGTTTTTAACAAAAGGGTCTCTATATGGAATGGTCTCGATGAAAATACCAAAAATATCAAATCGTATTTCTCTTTTAAGGAAAAAATAAAATCTTATTACTTACTATCTGCTTAATGCAAATACTGTAAAATAAAGTCAACATTTATCTCACCTTATCTCTTTTAACTATTTTTATGTAAATAATCGTAATATATACAGCCTTATTTGTCAACATTTTTAGTAGTAGTTACAGCTTGTAATTGATTTTCAAAACTAGGGGCCTTATCTAAAAGTCCAACAGGATTTCCAAAGGTTCTTAGCCCCCATATATACTATTCTAAATATTCTAAATTACTTTGTAAATATCTTTTGTGGGCAAAACAAATATATACATATATACAAATATATACAAATAAGGAATGTGAAATAATAATTGAAACCTGTCCAAAATTTGATACCAACACTCAAGTGAACATACTGTCACCTAAAAATAAAAGAAAAGAAAATCTTAGATATACCACAGGCATATAGTGAGCACAACTCTTTAACAAACTCACTAAAATAAGTTAAATTATACTATGATAAGAGGATAGCAATATATGACAACATCAAATTTTACCATCTTCATTGTCCAAAAAAAGTGCCACGCGCATTTTTCGTGGTCGCAAACTGCAACAAAACCAGGTGAAAAATCAATTAGAAAAACCTGGTTTTGGATGATGAGCGTAGTCAAATTCTTGACTTATTCAACTTTCTAAGTTTTTCCATGCAGGTAATCAGATTCAACATTGAAATAAGCCACATTCGGGACCTCATAGAATCCAAAATATTGTGTATGGACCAGATTTTTTTCAATTTTCTGTGATTTACATAACACTAGTTCAGTATAACTTAAGGGTCAACCAGTATTTTCAAGACATATTTTCCTTTCAGAACACCTTTTCAAAATAGTAACCCAAACATATCAAAAATAGTGTACATTTACAAGGGGAATTTCAACCCTTTGGCACATTTTTCCCATGAATAATTTTAATTCTAATAAAAAGACTATAGACAAAACTTTGATTTATAGCTAGTTTCAAGTGATGAGCATACCCTAATTTTTAAGCTATACCTCAAAGAAGATGGGTCATTTCAACATAAACATTGAATTATGGGTATATTGACAGCTCTGTCACACGTGTAGTATGACATAGCAGCCCTTCTGAAACTTTTTAATGAAAGTATAATTCACATTTTCACTTACTTCTTAACATCTGTTTTAATCCAACTAGCTCTGTACGAGCGAAATTTAGTGCTGATGTAAATATCCATTTAGTTCATGTTTCCCCGGTAAAAATGTAGTCTATTCCAAAGCTGATTTCTACGTACTTTAGCTTTTCAGAAACCGTTGACCTTCCTCAGTGAGATTACCAACTGTTTCACAAACATATTTGATAGTAAACAACTAAAATATTCTCCGAAAGTCTATATTCTTGCTCTTCGACGCGAAAATGGCAATTCAAGAAGAAATGAGCCGCTATTTTTGGTCAGCGTCGACAAATTTCCCACCTGTTATGGGCATGTTTACCTAGGGTCAAAGAGTAAAGATATAAAGAGAGTTCACTCGCTGAAAAATAGAGTTTTATTATTATTATTATAAAGCTTTATTTGCATGACCTAATTACAGGTATTGCTAAGCGTAGATTATATATATAAAATGTCAGTAATGTCTAAGCTATAACTATAAAAATATATAGGAAGAAGCTATTTACAAATAGAAAAGCAGTATATAATTTAAAGATATAATGTTGGGGTTTTTTTTGTTTATTTTGTTTTATTATTTATCTAAGGAATTTTTAGTCTAATTGTTGTCCCTAATCTTCCATGGATTTGAGGCTTTTATCTCTCTCCGAAAAACAGTGAAAGATATACTTAGAAAGCAGGTTAACAAGAACTGGATCGTCTGAAGACATCGCATGCTCAAACAGTTTTTGTTTTCCTTCCATTGTGTTATTGAGATAAAATAGATTTTTGAGAATGTTGTTAGAATTATTTCTTAATTCTTCGTATTTCAGGCAAGATAAGGCTAAGTGATATTCGTTTTCCACTTCACCGGTGTTGCAAAGTTTGCAGAAACGTTGTTCGCGAGAAACGTTTTCGTATCTTCCTCGCTCAATTTGCAATTTATGATTACTTACTCTATATTGAGAAAATGTTCTTCTTATCGTTGGGTTATCAATAAGGGATAAATATTCTTCCATTTTGTACTGGTTTTTAAATGTACAAAAGAAAGATAGTTTGGAGGAGTTAATCATTTTATGTTGCCAAAATTCAAAATATTTATTTTTCATCTTATTTACAATAGTTTTTGTATCGTAGTGGGTATTTCCCAAGTTCACTTCTGCAAGCCACGTTACTGGCTCTTCTGTTAACACCTAGGTATAGCTTGCAGAATCTTAAATGAATTTTTTCAGTCTCTGAATTATCCCATTTATTCAGATCATTTTTTTCGTATGCTCCCCAGACTTCGGAGTTATATAGTAGAATTGGGGAAATTATCGAGTCGAAAATTTTTGTTGCTGTTTTTGGTGAAAGTTTATGAAAATCTAGATTTTTACGAATTTTATAAAGAGCATGCAAGGCTTCTTCGCTTAGTTGTTGTTGTGCGAGTTTAAATTTCCCATTTGGTACTAGTTTGAGACCAAGATAGGTATACTCTTTGACTATATCTATCTTTTTATCTCCAATGTGGAAATGAAGGTTTGGTAATTTCGAGTTGTGTTTTTGAAAAATCGTAATTTTTGTTTTCTTGATATTGACTTCCATTAGCCATTTACTACACCATTCATTTATTTGGTTTAGACAGTTTTGTAAACCTGATTTTGATCGTGAAAGTATAATGAGATCATCCGCATAGAGTAGGCTGTTGATAGTAGTTCCATATGGTAATATAAATGGATCTGATTGTGTTTGTTGAAACATTTTTGGAAGATCGTTTATGTAAATATTAAATAATAAAGGGCTTAGAATGCATCCTTGACGGACTCCCTTTTTGTAAGGAAAAAACGGTGTTCTGTTTTCAGATAGTTTTATTGTACATTTCGTGTTTGAGTAGAGGTCTTGAATTGAATCGTAGAAGTGTCCCCCTATGTTGTTTTTGATAAGTTGGTAAAATAAGCCTTGTTGCCAAACAGAATCAAAAACTTTTCTAAAGTCAACAAAACATGCATAGATTTTTTCTTTTTCACTCTGTTTGACATATTTATCATGCAGAGTTTTCAGCGTAAGAATATGGTCAGCCGTTCTATTTCCAGGCATGAATTCAATTTGAATTGGGTGAATTAATTGCTTTTCGTTTGCGAAATTCATCAATCTATTATTCAAAATTGAGCAAAATAATTTGCCCATGCAGCTTGAGACACAAATACCTCGGTAGTTGTTTGGATCGAGGGAGTTTCGTGATTTATGGATCGGGATTATTAAGCCTTCGGTCCATGATTCAGGAAACTTCCCCGATGTTAAGATGTTGTTAAAAAATTTTAGAAAAGCTTTAGAGAGAATTCCAATACTAGATTTAATCATTTCGTTTCTGATTTTGTCGTTATAGACAGCCTTTTTAGATTTTAACTTTTTAGCTGCTTTTAGTAGTTTATCTTCTGTGATGATGTAATCAAGTTCGGTTAAGTTGTCTTTGATTTTTTCATAGTTTTTCAGGCATTCAACGATTTCGTTGTGTTCCTTGTTTAATTGATGTTCTGAATGAAGTGTTTCAAAATGATTCAGCCATTCACTTGGTTGTGGGCTTTTCTTAGTTTCATTAAAATCAAGATCGTCACTGATATTTCTTAATGTTTTCCAAATGTTTTTAATGTTTTTCAATTTCTTGGATTTTATCGAAATGGAAATTTTTCTTTTTCATTTCTAAAGTGCTTTTATAGTCTTTCAAAGCAGTATGGTATGCACTTCTGATTTCAGTGTTGTTTGGATCTCTATGTTTCTGATTTGCAAGTTTTCTAAGCTGGTGTCTTTCAAATCTACAATCTTTATCAAACCATTTTTTGTTTGCAACATTATTAATATTTCGTCTATATTTCTTCTTTTTGATTTTAAGAGATTTTTTGGATGCAACGTTAATAATGTTTTCAAATTCATTGACACATTTGTTTATGCCCTCTCTGTCAGAAGAGAAATCATTTTCAAGGAATGTGCTTAGTTTCTCTTGTAGTTCATCTGATTTTAACGTTTTTTTAAAGTTCTCATTTGATTCATTGTTCCAAATATATTGTAGTGGTAATTTTGATATTGGGGGTTGTAAGGGAGTATTATTAATAGTGTTAGTGGTTTGGTGTAAGTTAATCCAAGTTATAACTTGACTATGGTCAGATAGATAGTTAGGGGATTTAACAACTAGATGTTTAACTTTCGGCATTAAGTTTTGGTTACAAATGATATAATCAACTGAGCTGGTTCCATTTTTACTATGAAAACTTGGTCTTCCCAAGGAGTCACCATTGGTCCGACCATTAAGAATTCTCATGTCAGTACTTTTGCAAATTTCAATAATTTTTTTACCATGATTATTGGTTGTTGAGTCAAGGTTTTGTCTTTGTGGTGGTTGAAAAGAGTTACCACTAGTGTCTTGAATGTGATTACTTCCATCACTTGAAATATAATCTTTGAGTTTGCTTGTTCTAGCATTTAGATCACCAAGAAGAAGTATATTTGCTTTGGATGAGAAAAGGACTAGATCATTTTCAAGTTCTTCAAAAATTTTGTTTTCAAAGTACTTTGATTTTTCAGGTGGGATGTATGTACCACACATGTATAGATCCCGATCAGAGTTTAAGATTTCTTTGGAGATTTTGCTCCACAAAAAATTTTTTGTATTCTTAATAATGCTTACATATTTCTTAAATTTGCTTTTGAATAACAGGCTAATGCCGCCTGATTTTCGGCATGCCCGGTTAGTAACTGGTTTGGCTGTTTCAGAAATAATAGCCTCAAATCCTGGAATGTTTAAACATGTGTTTGTCCATGTTTCATTTATAAATATGAAATCGATCTTAGAAATAGAATCAATAAAGTCCTTGTTTTTGGTTTTATCTCCAAGGACGCTATTGAATATACCATTAATATTCCAAGTGCTAAATGAAATTTCTGTGCTCATTTTAGATATATATATCTAATAATTTGATAGAGAATGCTGGAAGTAATTCTTTTTTGGGGGAAAAAACCCCCAATCTTTTGTTTAATAGCAAAATTATGCATGATAGAATTTGAAAGGAGAATGGTTCTAGTATTATATTAATTAAATAAAATAGTGATAGTATGGGTTAAAGACTTACAGTTTATTATATGCTAAGGCATCCATAGAGTTGTCTTATCAGGCCAACCAGTTGAGGTGGTAGAGGGTTTATTCGGTTATCTTGGCGAAATGGGGGAGGGGGTGGTCCGGTTCCTTTGTTGATATGTTGAGTGTTGATACGATGTTGGTATGATGGGGGTGAACTTGGTGTTGGTATTATGGGGTGAACGGTGGGTATATGTTGTTGCGGCCAAATTGGAAAGGTTGTGTTCTCACATGTTGTGAGAAGTTTTGGTTGTGGATATCTCTTGGGGGATATTTTTTGTTCATTTTCTTCGTTTTAGGTGTGGTGTTAAAGTAAGCCGCTTTAATGTTTTTTGCAAATTTTTTAACACCCCTTTCGTTCAAGTGCTTCTTGTCGTGCAGGTCAGCACTAGATATATTGGTATGCTGGATATAAGTGGTTTTTGTTTTGGAGGAAAGTCTGGTTTTAAGTTCTTCATTAATCGTTGGCACTTTGTTGTTAAGTTCATCCTTTCTTGATAATAATGAGGATACTAGAATTCTGCCGTTTGGATGTTTTTGTTTGACTAAATCCACAATTTCTAGGGTTTCGGTTGTAGTGTTTTTTCCGGGTTGTTCGATATCATTAGTTCCGCAGTGGATAATAAGGTTTTGGGGGTTACTGAAGTTGAAGGATTCAATTTTTTGCCTTGCTTGGGAGAGAGTTGGGGATCGGATGTATTTTGTTGTTGAGTCAGGACAAAGTTCTTTGGGTTTCAGGTATCGACCATTGCTGTCACATATGATGATGGTTTCTGCGTCGATTGACTTTTGGTGGTCAGTTTTAGTTTCGGGTTGTGCACTTGTGTTTGGTTGGACAGTGGGAGGGAGGTCTTGCTGAATATTGTCATTCTGTTCGACTCCATCTTCTACGTTTTCTTCCTTGTTTCCTTTGGACTTCAACTCTACATGTTCATTTGTGTTATCACCTTTATTTGCTGCATCATCAGTTAGAAGATCAAAGGTGTTGGATGTTGGGATACTATATTCTTCAGTGGTGTTGGGTGGTGGTGGAGACATTGAGGCCCATGTGCACTTTTCTGCACAAGATTCACTTTTTAATTGGATTTTGTGTACAGGTTGTTGTAAATTAGAGTTTTTCTCTTCAATTCTCTTACATCTTTTATTAAGAGCATTTATATTTTCTTCCATTTGTAATAGTTTCAATGTCAGAGTGTAAAGGCACAATTCCAGTCCTCGCACGAAGCTCCTCGCAGGTCGCTGCGAGTGCTTGCATCTAATTAAAATTAACTCTTAAGCATTGTGATTGGATGAAAGTGCTCATACTGTCATGCATGCACTCGCAGCGAGCTGCGAGGAGCTTCGTGCGAGGACTGGCATATCGCCTTTACGGACATCACATGGATTTGCGAAGCTGACGCCATTTACACGTACGCCATAAAAGCAAATTAAATATTCCAAAAAATATTTAATATGCCAGCAGCCAGTATATATAGTATGTTTGTTTCATGATGCGTTTCAGTATGTCGGTTATGTTCTCTAGATAACACAATTAAATTACGCAACATTCCGAATAAATTCGAACGAATTCGGTATATCTCAATACTTCAATGATTTGGATTCTTGCACTTCACTTGGTGGAATTAATATTGGAATGTTAGGGTTTGTAATCCAAGTGAGTATATATACATTTTAAGACCTAACCAGGAACGAAAGGTCCTCTGGTAGGAATTGAACCTACGGCCCTGTGATTCCGGTGCAGCGCTCTAACCAACTGAGCTACAGAGGCCAGCTGTTGAACTGTAACCGTAAGTTCATGTATATATAGGTAATCCTGTGTGCGGGTTGTGACAAGGTTGTGTTGTGATAAGTCCACCTTATCACAACCCGCACACCCGCTTACCTATATATACATGTACTTACGGTTACAACTCAACAGCTGGCCTCTGTAGCTCAATTGGTTAGAGCGTAGACTTGCTCCAAGTCATATCGATCCACTATAGTATACATTACATAACGAAAATGCAAGACTTGCTTTAATTGCTTTCCTTCAATTTCATTCTGTATATTTACTATAATGGAACTCGTGTTATTTACACTGTGCTGGATCAATACATATAAACACTGACAGAAAACAATTCAAGCAAGTCTTGCATTTTCGGTTCAGTTTTGAACCGAGAATTTCCGAAGTTGAAAAGTCTCTCTTTCTCGCTCCGCCTCTGCGTGCTACGTCATGTAATGTACACTATAGTGGATCGATACTACTGTATATTATGACAATGAAAGAGAGACTTGGAGCAAGTCTAGTTAGAGCGCTGCACCGGATTCGCTGGACCGTTGGTTCAATTCCTACCAGAGAACCTTATGCTGCATTTTTCGCAGTCGTTCCTGGTTAGGTCTTAGATTGTATATATTCTCACTTGGATTACAAACCCTAACATTATAATATTAATTCCACCAAGTGAAGTGCAAGAATCCTATCATTGAAGTCCACCTTATCACAACCCGCACACCCGATTACCTATGTATTCATGAACTTACGGTTACAGCTCAACAGCTAGCCTCTTTAGCTCAGTTGGTTAGAGCGCTGCACTTGAATCGCAGGGCCGTAGGTTCAATTACTACCAGAGGACCTTATGCTGCATTTTTCGCAGTCGTTCCTGGTTTGGTCTTAAAATTTATATAATTATTCTCACTTGGATTACAAACCCTAACATTCCAATATTAATTCCACCATAGTTTATAGAATAGATGGTTTGGAAACTCATTAGAATAACAATATAACTCATTATCTATGTTAGTCAACGTTTGTATTGTATTTTTGCCAAATCAACCAATAGCAATTTCCAATTTACTCTATTGTTCAAGTTAGGGATAGGTAACTTTCCTAAAACATTGCTATTGATTAGTTCGGCAAAAATACAATACACACGTGACGATAAAGGACCATTTTTATGAATAAACGTTGACTAACATAGATAATAGTTATATTGTTATTCTGATGAGTTTCCAAACCATCTATTCTATTAATTATGATTCCACCAAGTGAAGTGCAGAATCCAAATCATTGAAGTCCACCTTATCACAACCCGCACACCCGACTACCTATATATACATGAACTTACGGTTACAGCTCAACAGCTAGCCTCAGTAGCTCAGTTGGTTAGAGCGCTGCACCGGATTCGCTGGACCGTTGGTTCAATTCCTACCAGAGGACCTTGTGCTGCATTTTTCGCTGTCGTTCCTGGTTAGGTCTTAAAATGTATATATTCTCACTTGGATTACAAACCCTAACATTTCAATATTAATTCCACCAAGTGAAGTGCAAGAATCCAAATCATTGAAGTCCACCTTATCACAACCGGCACACCCGATTACCCATATATACATGATATTCACCGGATTCGCATGGCGTAGGTTCAATTCCTACCAGAGGACCTTGTGCTGCATTTTTCGCTGTCGTTCCTGCTTAGGTCTTAAAATTTATATATTCTCACTTGGATTACAAACCCTAACATTCCAAATCTCAATACTTCGCTTTCTCGTAGTTTTTGAACTGCTTTTTTATCTTCTTCTCGATCTAAACATTCGCTATATTTCACGCTTGCTTCTTTGTCGCTTTCAAATATGCTGCTTAAAGCTTCCCGTCTTTACTCGGGTCGCTCATCGATTCTATAAGTTCTCGATAAGACCTTGTTAAATGACCCCGATATGCCGACAGCGCATTCTTAAGTTTATTAAGTCTTTCAAAAAGAACAGAGTCTTGATTCAACATTGTATACTCGCTTGGCATTCACTACGGTCTCGAAGTTCCATGACTTAAAGCTCGTATATTCAAACTGTTTACTACAAACTGAATTGTTACTAATACTGGTAAACAACTGAGGACGATAAAAGAACTAATGTAGCAACGGTCTCACTAATATTTTGCCGGATAAATTACTCGCCTCGCCAGTGCTTGTCTTTTCTTGAACTGAATCAATCTTCATTCTTGCGAATAGCGGTTCTATATAAATTAATTTATAAGTTGCTAGCTATACTAAATTACAAACGAATACAATAAATACAAATAGAAATACTAGATAAGTTATATCTTTATCGAAGGCTCCTTCCGAACTTTAAGTCTCCTTTAGTCTTTACGTGTTCATTGCTCGAGTACAAGCAAACGATAACTAAATTTCTTACTAACTTAATTAAGCATGCAAACTAACTTAAATACTAGCTATCGTATGCTAATTTATTTATTTGATTATTTTGACTAATCTATTTTAATTTCGTCTTTACACAACGTGAGGAAGATTACCACACTCTTCAACATGCTCTACGCATGCTCTTCAAATCGGATTAAAACTGTTTGGAGAAGACCATTCTGACATTGCTAGCAGTTATAACAACATTGCAGTCACACAACGTGAGATGAAAGATTACAAGTCAGCGTTGCAGTCAGATCAACATGCTCTTCAAATTAGATTAAAAGCTAGTGTTTGGAGAAGACCATTCTGACACGGCTCTGAGTTATAACAGCATTGCAGTGACTCAACATGAGATGAAAGATTACCAGTCAGAGTTGGAGTCAGATCAACATGCTCTTCAAATTAGATTAAAACTGTTTGGTGAAGACCATTTTGACACTGCTATAAGTTATAACAGCATGTCAGCATTGCAGTCGCACAGCGTGAGATCACGGGTGAGATGAAAGATTACAAGTCAGCTAGCATTGGAGTCACATCAACATGCTCTTCAAATCAGATTAAAACTGTTTGGATAAGACCATTCTGACACTGCTAAAAGTTATAACAGCATTGCAATCACACAACATGAGATGAAAGATTACAAGTCGGCGTTGGAATTATACCAACATGCTCTTCAAATTGGATCAAAACTGTTTGGAGAAGACCATTCTGAAACTGCTCTAAATTATTACAACGTTGGAGATACACAACATGAGATGAAATATTACAAGTCAGCGTTGGAATCACATAATATGCTCTTCAACTAAGATTAAAACTGTTTGGGAAAGACCATTTTGACACTCCTAGAAGTTATGACAGTATTGCAGTCACACAATGTGAGATGGAAGATTACCAGTCAGCGTTGGAATCACATCAACATGCTCTTCAAGTCGGATTAAAACTGTTTGGAGAGGACCATTCTGACACTGCTAGCAGTTATAACAACATTGCAGCATTTGTGGCGCTTGGACTTCTGCTTGTGGCTCAACCATCATTTTATTTCGACTCATCCCACTCCTGACACCATGTAACGTGTTAGTTTATTACGATATAGTTACCGATTAACAAGAAATCGAGAGAAGTATCTATTTGTTTACAATGTAAAAACGCCTACCTTGTGTTACTTTTCGTACGCCTCGCTCGCCGTGCCTGTCAATCAAATTAATGTTTTCGTCATCGTGGCGTCACCTAATAACATCCGAACATCGTGACAATAGCATACAAATTTTAATTAAAAAAAGCTGGGCATTTGTTTTTTCGAAAATATGCATGATCTTTAAAGTTAACAGTTTAAATTTGCGCTAATAGTCATGTTATTCGCGCGACAATATTACATTTGCTGCTATTAAAGTGCCGTGGAATTTAAATTCTTAAAGGAGCAGTGCCATCGTCTGCGCATCTCTTCTGCGCATACGGCAAACTTGAAAAACTACAGCCTTACTTTTTCAAGTTTATGACTCAAGATGACGACCAATTGCGAGTGATTGCATCATCTGAGTCACGTTTTAGGGTGGCTTATTCTTGTTGGGAGTTTTGTTGGGCAAACAAGCCCAAGGGAAGTCGCTGAACGGTCAATAGACAAATTCACAAAGCATTTTGCATGCAAGAAATATTGCTTCTTTTCAACACTTTTGTCGTAGTGTTTGATAATTTTGAAACAAGAAACGTCTTTATAGCGCTGTAAAGTGTGTTTTGGATGAAGTACATGGAAATTGAAGCAAAAGTGAACGACAAAATTCAAAATGCGTAAACTGGAACAACCGAGGGAACGAACAAGCTGCTTTAATACAAACACGTTCTCATATGAATTAGGTTCTTTTTCAACATTTTAATGTGAGTATGCTTGGTAAACATGCATTCGACTGATCACCATGCATTTTGACCTACAAATACGTGCGTGTTGTTGCTCGAAGTATATCTGGTATTTCACAACGATCGAGAGTTTTGTGTGGATTTTTT